TTTCATATGAATGGAAATTTACCATACAATACCCTCACATGAGGCCTCATTTATAAAAATACACAGGCATCATACCAAAAATTTGCATGCGCACCAAAGCCAGAAATGGCGTATGCCATACGCATCAGATTTATAAAAATGTGCTTATGCATTCCTGTCTCCTTTATAACTCACAGTCCGCCTGGAAATGTGAGTTAGTGGATGTGCATCTTATCCAGCCCTCTACACACCCACATTGACCTCATGAATGTTAAGTGATCCGAAGATCAATTTGTTTTTATGGTGAATCATTACACCAAGGAAGAAGACAAAGGAGAGCAACACCTCTGACAGTCAATTGAAGCAATTTATGGATGCATGTTGTGCTTCTGTGCTGATCGGCTCAGTGAGGTCTTCACAACTCTCATCCAAATGTGTGCAGATAGTGGAAAGATACCTATTGTATGGAAAACATCCGGTATAATACCTATCCCCCCAAAAAAAAATCATGAATTCCAAAAAGTGAATCCGAACCAGTTGCTCTTTCGTTTTTAGTGAAAAAAAATCCCAAGTCTCATAAGACGTGACAGTGATACCAATCACAAAGATAATTGTTTGAGTGGTTTTAAGCTATTATATGTACCTTGAAAAAGTGTGTGCATTGCCACAGATGGTATACAACCCATCCTTGATTTTGTAATAAGGTTAGAAACAACCTAAAAATTTCAAAAGGTCAATTTAGGAAATACAGGGACTGACTGAAAAGAATTGAACTGTCGGATAAACTATATGATCAGCACACATACCGCTCTTTCATGTTAGCACATATTGATTGTGAACAGCTGCTTTTTTTGCTTTGGATATGCTTTAGATTGCCCTGTGCCACAATAGTGTTGGCATTCTTTTTCATTTCCCTCCCTAGGTGCTGCTAACCCAACTGTAGCCCGACGCAACATGACACTTCCGGGAGAGAATGGCCAAAACCTGGTGGAGTGGAGGTTCAGGAAGGAACAGACACGAGGAAAAGTCATTGTCTTTGGGAGAAAGCTTAGGGTGAGAGGTCTTCTGCTAAAGCATTCCAGAACAATAGAATGTCTCAGTATTTGTATTATCCATGGTATAATAGTTTAGTGCTGACAGACTAGGGGTCTGGGGAAATTGTGGAGGACAGGGGTGATGTGGTCTTACAACATTGAGCTTCAGACCAAACACACTGTTTAAAAGGTGAAACTGTTTGTCCCAAGTTATGTGGAGTACAGGGTGCTGCAATTAGGTGATACCAAACACAAGAGCAAGTAATACCAAACACAGGAGCAGGAAAACCTATTTAGGAGTCATGAACAGAAACCTAATTGACGTGAAAAACTGCTGGAATGCAAAGGCAGCAAAGCACAATAGCTTTGGCTGATGAGTGAGGAAAGTGGACCACCATTTAAACAATGTTTAGAGAAAGCTCATGGTGTCTTGAATGTATTCTGTTGGTAAAGCTGCAGGTCTGAATTGCACCTGGATGCTTTAGCCCCATTATACTTACTGTACCTGTAAGTCAAGTAATGACCCTCTGTTTTAGTGTGATAAGCAGAAATGTGAAAACACATACTGAACCTTGTATTTCCAGATGTATTTGTTTATCAACTGCAACTTTTGCTGTCATTTCTGTCTCCATTTTATGGATAATAGTGATACAGTGGATTCAGCTGATGTTTCTGGTGAACTCTACATTTCATGATACTCTTAAAACACATTTGTTTTAATGTTTGTGTTATAATGGTATCATTTATTATAATATTAGATCAAAGCAAGAGGTCCAGCTGGGCCACTCTTTTGTGATTGGTCAGCCACTTACAGGATGTGTTAGACACATTCCTTATCCAGACACATCCTACTCAGCTATGAACACTGCTGTAGCCATGGTTACAGTGGCCTTTGCTAATACCAATCCAGCACTTAAGAAACACTACAGGTACTTTCTGTAGGAGAGGACTATGAGTCCTGTGAGTTTTTTTTTTTTTGCTAAACTACAGTGGGCTAATCCACACAGTGGTGGTTCTCAAACCAATACATGTCAGGGAAGTAAAACAACAAAATACAGCTCCAAACAAATACCTGCCATTAAATTAAATTAAACTACTTTAATAAGTTTTTTCACCATTCATGCTATTATAACCAGTTCACTTGACTTCATCAGGCACATCATTCAGCCACAAAATACATACTACATAACACGTTAACTGTAACGCTCCTCTCGTGCGCACACAGTGAGCAAGAGTTAGCACAGATAAATTAATGAATCCATCCGTTGTTTTGGTTGGAGGCAAAGTTATCAATGATACGCCGTTCATCCAAAGCCCCTGTCCTTGGCTTGCTAATGGCTAACAAGGCCACGTTGCTGCAGTGGTAATTTCACTTCTGACCATATCTGCCATTATTTGGAAAATCTTGTTTTGAATGTCTTCATGTCTGTATTTGCCATTCAAAGATTGTCTCTCAATTTCTTTGCTACCGTCTCCTTTTTATTGCAGAAGTGTATTGAATTAATATGTCTTACCTTACCTTTAAAGAGAATGAAAGGGTTATGCTGCTGTTTAATATTCTTGGACTATCACATTCACAAACAAATAGCTAGGACACCCTGTAGGAAAAGGAAAGCCCCCATGCAGTCACTTGAATATGCACAAAACCTCATAGAGTTTCTTTATTAATTGGTTATTAATGTGTTTCCAGGTGAATGGTAGGAACTTGCTGTCTGTGGATTATGATCGTACACTGCGAACAGAGAAAATTTATGATGACCACAGGAAGTTCCTGCTGAAGATCATCTATGACACCCAAGGCCATCCCACCCTCTGGGTTCCCAGCAGCAAGCTACTATCAGTCAACTTGACTTACTCCAGGTAAGCCCTACTGGAATGGGGTATTATAATTTTAGGATGTCTCCTGCACACCTCTATTTGTACTGAATGACTGTATTTCGCTGCAACTGATAGTTTGTCCAGCAACATATTTGTGACCAAGAGAGAAGAGAAATATTCAGAGGTTAATTGAAGATTGAAATTATTGTCTAGTTTCCTATGCCAAGCATGTTTACTGAATTGATTTCCATGTGTTTGTTTACTAAACTGATTTCCATGCAATTCTGTTGAGGGTTTTGGCATAACTGAAGGAAGTATGGAGCAGATCAAGTTTTTTTTTCTTTGCTCTGTTAGAGAGATTTATTTTTCACTTTAACATTTTGAGGTTGTGTTTTTTGTTTTCCTGGAATAATCCATGGATCTTGATGAAAGAAATGTTTGAGGGACTGATATTGAGTGACGTGTGCAATTTGGTGCAGATCTAAATAAAAATCCTGATCTAGTGAATTTAAATTAAAGGTAATGTGCATGGGCTTTGGCAGAGGTATGCTCTCCACAAAGAGCCATTCTAGTTTTCAACAAGTTTAAGAACCCCTCTTCATTAAGATACATACTCACTGCTCAGTGATAGTTTTTAACAGCTGGAAATTAGCTTTTAGCTAACTGTGCTACAATAGTTTTGATTGTGGTCTTTTCCATTTCAAAATATACAATTCAATGTTAAACATTAAAAGTATAAACCCATTAACAAACATGTCACACCTCTACGTAACACCTCGATGTCATCAAAAGCTGAACAGCATGAATAAAAGTAGACTGTGAGAACACTTAGGATTGCATGAAACTGTCAGAAATGAACATGTGACGTATAAATGCCAAATGTGTCTGTCTGTGTGCGTGTAGTACGGGGCAGTTGACAGGCCTCCAGAGAGGTCCAACCACTGAGAGGTGGGAGTACGACAGTCAGGGAAGAATCATTTCCCGAGTCTTTGCTGATGGAAAGACATGGAGCTACACTTACCTGGACAAGGTGCAGTACACCTCTAAGGCTTCGATAAAGAGATTGTATCATCACTGTATAGGTATCACGTTTCATGTGTAGGCTGTATATAAACATTTCAATGATGTAGTGCCACATCCATGCACATTAGCTCACGCACAATAAACATGTGTGTCTCAAGGAGAACCAAATAGCGTACATTCATGCACACACACACACACACACACACACACACACACACACACTCACAAGCTCACAATCTCCCAAGCTCCCTTTGCTTGTATGGGTGTCATCCAGGTACTCCATCTTCCTCCCACAGTCCAAACACATACAGGTTTACTGGTGACTCTGAATGTAAAATTACGAGATGAATGTGAGTTTGAATGGTGGTATGTGTCAGCTCTGATACAGACTGACGACCATTGGTATTCTGTCTCTCACACAATGTGAGCTAGGCTTGGCTCAAACCCCCCAAACCACTAAGGGAAAGTGGTATAACTAATAAATGGATGACATTCACATGTATGCATTATATAATTACATATTCTAATCTGAATATGTGAAAAACCCATTATTATTATTACATGTGTGTGTGACATAACTCAATCATAATCATACAATTATTGAAGAGTACACTTTGCTGCTATGGCCTGACACATTTCACTGACTTGCTAATGCCAAGACCACTCTATAATTTCTCAACCTTATGATTCGGCACCATACAAATTTAATTTAATTGAATTCAACAGCTGGCCATACCATGCCCTCTACCATTGTTGATTTACACACACTTGCATCAAGACACGAAAAGCACTATGCTGGTGTCTGTGTCTCAATACTTGTCTTCATCAAAATATTTTCCTAATTCAGTGAAGGGAAGCTTTGGTTAAAGGTTTTCCAAAGAAAGTAAAAACCCAGCTTTCTAGTTGACTACCATCACATGTCATCTGTGTTATGAAGGGATGTCCAATGTTCCACATTGTGTAAAGTGTCTTGTTGGGCCTCTGTCTGTAATACTCTGATCAAGTTTCTTCAACTTTCTCTCCAACAGTCCATGGTCTTGCTGCTGCACAGCCAGCACCAGTACATCTTTGACTATGACTCAGGAGACCATCTGTCAGCAGTCACCATGCCCAGCGTGGCTCGACACACCATGCAGACCATCAGATCCATAGGATACTACAGGAACATCTACACCCCCCCAGAGAGCAATGCTTCTGTCACTGTAGACTACTCTGAAGATGGACAGGTCTGTATTCATGTGTGAGAACTTTCATTTCACTGCATTGAACTTCAATTTTTCTTTTCTTTAATTTTCTTAACAGCTTCCTCACCACTTACGAGAAACCTGAAAAGATAGTTGTTTCCAATTATACTTTATTAGCCATAATATTATTATACTATTGTAATAATTTTTTGTCACTCTGTATCTCCATCAACCTGCATTATACATATTTTTCAATCCCAAGTGTGACCATGGTCAGTTCTGACAGGTTTGGTGTCAATGGCCCTATTCATCTCTACTGCTTTCTTTGTCTCTCTCTAGCTCCTCAGAGTTGCCCATCTGGGAACTGGTCGCCAAATTCTGTACAAATATCGCAGACAGGTATTTATGTTTTTACAAATAAAGAAATACATAAATTAACATTTATCTGTATGGATTTTTATATTTGTTTATAAGTGCACATCCAGTTTATAATTAATAAGTAAAATGTTTAATGTTGGTAACAATAAATCCATAAAGAATGCAAATTTAAATAAAGATGTATAATTAAATATTTGTAGTAAAACTAAGATTATAAGACTCATTTTTGATTTGTTTCTAAATTATTCATTTTTATTTTCTGAACAGTCAACTCACAAATGAAAATTTGTGATTTCAGATTTATTTTTCCCAATTAATCGAATCCAAATAAGATAATCAGATAAAGAGATCAGATGGAATAAATGCATCAATGCTCTGTTTGGTGTAAATGAAGTCCAAAGTAAGGACAGATCAATATAGCGAACAGATGGAGAACCTTGATGAAATCAGGCATATGAAGCAGCTCCAGCAGGAAATGAACAGAAAGTGATGGTACAGTGGATCCTGGATGTGTGGCAACAGGTATTATAAAAGGTCCTTTATTGTAAACACATACTGCACTCTTTTGTTTGTCACATCAGAACAAGCTGGCAGAGATCCTCTATGACTCAACACGGGTCAGTTTCACTTACGATGAGACCGCTGGTGTGCTTAAAACCGTCAACCTGCAGAGTGAAGGCTTCATCTGCTCCATCCGGTACCGTCAGATTGGCCCACTGGTCGACCGGCAAATATTCCGCTTCAGCGAGGATGGGATGGTGAACGCCCGCTTTGACTACACCTACGACAACAGCTTCAGGGTTACCAGCATGCAGGCTGTAATAAATGAGACGCCACTGCCCATTGACCTCTATCAATTCGATGATATATCTGGAAAGGTGGAGCAGTTTGGGAAGTTTGGAGTCATCTATTATGATATCAATCAGGTGAGACAGGATTGGAGGCATTATTTAAGTTACTTGTTTCTGTGCTGTGATGGATTATAAATCCTAATTAAAGTATTCAAACATAACTGCAAATCATTATGTAAGGGTTATGGTTAGCCAGTTATTAGAGATATATTAATCTGGTTTAACGCAGAATTGTTATTTAGAGGTAAAACTTCCTATAAAAAATCTAGTTGGATCAGGATCTAATAGAAAAGGGGTGGTCTGATGGAAAGAAATAGAAGTAAATGGGTCTAAATATAAATCTGGTGCTACAGTTGATTCTAATGCTACTGTGCTGGACAGTTTATCTGCTATTTGTGGGAGGGAGGTGATTTCTTTTTTCTCTGATGGTTTCAGTTTTATTCTTGAAAAAGGGTTAAAGGAGCCACAGTGCTGAAGAGGAACATGGGGTTGTTCTTGTGTTCTTCTATTAGTGATGAATAATAGGAGGTTCTGGCATATCAGAGGGCACGACTTTTGATATTGTAGGAAGACTTGCTGAACTTGCCTTCCCTCTGCCTCAGATCATCTCCACAGCAGTGATGACCTACACCAAACACTTTGACCAGCATGGCCGAATCAAGGAGATCCAATATGAGATTTTCAGGTCTCTGATGTACTGGATCACCATTCAGTACGACAACATGGGCCGTGTCACCAAACGCGAGATAAAGATTGGACCTTTTGCAAATACAACCAAATATGGTTACGAGTATGACGTTGATGGACAGCTGCAGACAGTCTCCCTCAATGAGAAGATGATGTGGAGGTAGGATTATTACATTAACCTTAATGAAGGCACCATCATTTGATGTCACTATACGCTGATTGTATAATTTTCTGGGTTTCCAGGTATAACTATGATTTGAATGGGAACCTGCATTTGCTGAACCCTGGGAACAGTGGTCGATTAACTCCTCTACGCTACGATTTAAGGGACAGAATCACGCGTCTTGGAGATGTTCAGTACAGGCTGGATGAAGATGGTTTCCTGAGGCAGAGAGGAGCTGAGATATTTGAATACAACTCTAAAGGTGGGACATAATATTGAGCATTTTGAACTTACTACTAACCTAACATAGACCTAAAGGCCCTAAAACCCTAACCCTAAAGAATGAAAAACCAACATGTGGAGAATTTGATACCACATCAAAATGTCCTTATGCTTCAAGGTTTTTGAAATTGTTGCTACTTTTGGGGGCAACCAAAGTTTAGAATTGAAGTATGCATGAGAGCTTTCATCTAACATGTTGTCTGTAGTGTTTCTGTCCTGTTCTGTTCTGTTATGCACTCTTTGAACAATGTGCTGAACAGTGTGTGAGGAAGCTGTAGCTTTTTACTGCTATTTCTATGCTGGATTCACTTGGATGAGCAGCTCACTGCAGGTGACTGATCAGAATCACACAGATGTCTCCACTTCAAGTGTCTTTATTCCCACCACCACAACCACATTTGTTATTCACAGTCTGATGATTGAGTGGTGCATAAATCAACAGAATAACATACAGAGAAAACTGTAAATGTCACAGAATTGTACACAATCTAGGAAAATATATTAAATAGAAATCTCCTCAGGCCATATAAAGAACATCTACACCCTAATGCAGTGCAGAAGGACTACAGCAGTGCACAAACATGATAAGATAGGCATTCATGCAAAGACGAGGCAACTCTGCTCTCCAGTGTCCAGATGATGATGTGCAGCTTTAATTCCCCAACGTACCTGCTGAGTTACATAAGCTGTGCAATGTTATGAAAGGTGCGGGCTGTGCAGTTGGCAATACAACTCTTATAATAAAACTTTTTTTGTTTGTTTGTTTGTTGTTAATACCATACTGTTTGTTAATCTAATCTAATAATTCTTACATGCAACATGAACTTTTGCTGCTTATGATTTCCTCCAACATGTGGCATACATTATTATGTAAACAGCACATTGTCAATCTTTTTGTTCTTATTCTTTATTTTTGTCATTTGTGATCCAGGTCTTCTAGTTCGGGTCTACAGTAAAGCAGCCAGCTGGTCCATCCAGTACCGTTATGATGGTCTGGGTCGGCGTGTGGCATCTAGAAACAATCTGGGTCAACATCTGCAATTTTTCTATGCTGACCTGAACTACCCAACCAGGATAACCCATGTCTATAACCACTCCAGCTCCGAGATCACATCCTTTTACTATGATCTGCAGGTATCTACTCACTCTCATTCTTTAATACTTATTAGTCTTTTTTGGGCAGGTTTCACTCCATTAATAATGTGCACTGGTATCTCAATAAGAGCGAAGGGGTTGGTTTATCCAGTTGCAATCCCATATTATCCCATAAATGTACTTGTACAAACTACTTCTGTTACTGTTGTTACTTAACAGGTAAGGGAACCTGTAACAGCGACAGCTAAAAATGAACTAGTTTGTAATGATGGATACAGTTAAGAAATCAGCAGCAATGAGAGCCACATTTATAAAAGTAATAGTGACTTCATTATTTATAACCTTCCTGGTACCATTTGTGGAGTTTTAGAAGTAAAGAGCAATAATACTAATCACCATGATCATTGTAATTATGCTCCTAATCTGTGTGATTGTAATATTCACTGTTGCACAGGGCCATGTCTTTGCTATGGAGATCAGCAGTGGAGAGGAGTTTTATATAGCATGTGATAACACTGGAACACCATTGGCTGTCTTCAGCAACAATGGACTATTGCTGAAACAGGTATGTGTGTGAATGTGTGTTTTCTCATGACGCAAAGGTAGAAAGCACTTGAGTGCTCATTTGCTGTCTGAATCACAAATATCTGTGTGTGCAGGTGCAGTACACAGCATATGGTGAGGTTTACTTTGATTCCAACCCAGACTTTGTGCTGGTAATTGGTTTCCATGGAGGCCTTTATGATTCACTGACACGACTTCTGCATTTTGGAGACAGAGACTATGATATCCCCGCTGGGAGGTGAGGCATTCTTACTTATTCATTTTCAGTCCATGAGACTGGGATTGTATGTAAAATAACACTATTCCCACTTTGTAATTATCACATCTGACCAGTTTCTTTGTTACAAAGGTGGACGACTCCTGACATAAGCACATGGACACGTGTTGGTGAAGACCCCCAGCCCTTCAACCTTTACATGTTCCGAGGCAACAACCCAATCAGCAAGATCCACCAGGTCAAAGAATATGTCACAGGTAAGAAGAAAACACATTGAGGCAGATTTTTAGGTCTTGTTAGTCAATTGAAGAAAGCAGGAGCTTTCAGGATGTTGCTCAAGTTTCAATTCTGGGTCTGATTTTGTTCATTTTGGTTTTGGGTAATTTCCAGACTATCTGAAAGATGAATTTAGTTTTAAATTAGATGTACAGTATGAAGTTGGAATTTTTAATAGTGCCTGAGTCCAGCGGTTCTAATAGATGTTGGTCAGTAGTACTGGACTGCAACACTTTTTATAGTAATGAGCTGCAACATCATGAAGACAAGATCTAATTAATCCACAAACGCATTGCAGTATAGTCAGTGTTTCCCACAATTAATTAAATGTATGGCGTTAACAAGGGAACACATGGACGCTCATTAAGGTCACACTCATGCGCAACAGTTCAGAATGAGAAGTTTACGAATAGGTTAAAAAATAAGTTCTTTTGTGAGAAAAAGAATGGCACTGATGTCACAACTGTAGCTGAAGCTATAATCTCCAAGTCTGTGCGTGGATGGTAAACCATAGTGCAAACAAGTGGTAGTGCAAGCATGCAGTAGCAGGACAGCACAAGCTAGCATGCGGCTATCACTGTAAATAGAACTGAACACACCAAGATGTCTAACTTTATTATGAGAGATGTTTAAATAATGTGGTTCCTTGAGAAACTGTTGCGGGACAAAGAAGGATATGGCGGGCAGCCACAGTCGATAATGAATGGGAATCAATAATAAATAATCAAAGTAATATGCTAAACTGACTCTTCAACTGCTTTTATTTTTCTCTCTCTCCAACCCACTGCTCTCTTTCTATGTAGATGTCAATATCTGGTTGGTTACATTTGGCTTTCATCTTCACAACGCAATACCAGGATTCCCTATTCCTAAGTTTGACCTGACACAGCCATCACTGGAGATGAAAAAGAGTCAGCTGTGGGATGACCTACCCGTATGTATCCTATGTGCTCCTATTAAACAAATGTTGAATGCATGCACTAGATCGCAATACTTGAAAAACAAATAGTAAAAGTTGAGAAGTGCAAATGAGGGTTTGAATTCAGGACCTCTTAATAGCAATGATGGCAACTGTGTAGTCCACTAGGCTATCAATTTTAAGTACTATGAATACTACTTTGAAGATTTTATCTGCAAATAGGATTTTTAGCTGAGCATGATGATGTGTAGTATGTTTCCACACTCTGAAGGCAAAGGAAGTCAGAGCAGGTTTAAGGATTGGGAATCTGAGGACAAAGTCACCCTCCACTTTATGTTGCAGTCTATGCCAGATTGATGGTGATTTACCTCAATTTAGGTTTAAATCTTATATACTTAACATCAAATCAGTCAGCATTAAGCAGCAACATCAGCACATGAAGTGAAACTTTTCTCATTCTCTCATCCACAGTCTATCTCAGGTGTCCAGCAGGAGGTGACTCGTCAGTCTCAGGCCTTCCTGTCATTTGAGCGCATGCCAGAAGTTCAGCTCAGCCGGCGGCATTCAAATCATGCCAAACCCTGGCTGTGGTTTGCTACCGTCAAGTCTCTTATTGGCAAGGGAGTGATGCTAGCTGTGATCCAAGGCCGTGTGGTGACTAACGCTTTAAACATTGCAAATGAAGACTGCATCAAAGTGGCTGCAGTCTTAAATAATGCCTTTTACCTTGAAGACCTACATTTTACAGCAGAGGGACGAGACACACACTACTTCATCAAGACCAGCCTACCAGAGAATGACCTCAGTGCACTGCGGCTCACCTCAGGCAGGAAGTCATTGGAAAATGGTGTGAATGTCACAGTGTCCCAGTCTACAACAGTGATGAATGGGAGAACGCGACGCTTTGCCGATGTGGAGCTGCAGTATGGCGCTCTGGCTCTCCATGTACGTTATGGGACAACATTGGATGAAGAAAAAGCACGAATCCTGGAGCATGCAAGACAGAGGGCACTGTCGAGTGCCTGGGCCCGCGAACAGCAGCGAGTAAGAGATGGTGAGGAAGGAGTTCGGATGTGGACTGAGGGAGAGAAAAGGCAACTGCTGAGCAGTGGCAAGGTTTTGGGTTATGATGGCTACTACGTCTTGTCCATAGAGCAGTACCCCGAGCTAGCCGACAGCGCTAACAATATGCAGTTCCTACGCCAGAGTGAGATAGGCAGGAGGTAACACAGCATCAACAAATGTCAGAAAATGATTACGCCTGTGACTGTCAAAGACTAACTAAAGTTTAGTTTTCACAGAAAATGGATGTCAACGAATGAACTGCCTTGAGACTCAAAAATTGCCACTGAAGAGATCCCATGTTTGAAAAGGTATTTTGTACTGGGAAAGGTCAGGTAGAGTATCAATAAGAATAGAAACAATCACTTCAACGCAGCGGACATGAAATGTTATGGAACAACAATTATGAGGATTCAAAACTGTTTTCACGAGTCTGCAAAAGGTCAAAAGAAACTTCTTTTGAGCAATGCATTTTCTCTCTTTTTTTCCTGTCTTCTTTTTCTGTCTTTCTTACACCTTGCCATCTGCCTTTAAACAGTCTACATGCATGCCCCTCTCCCTCCTTCTGTCCGGCAGAGCTATCATGAGTGTCGTCATGCGTTATCTAGCTGTGAAACAGTGGGATGTCAACTCTTTCAAACAGCCAAGTGAGCATTTCAGCAGCCATCGCATCTAGATGAGCTTACAAGCATTTTGACAGCTATAAACTGTCAGAGCTGTCAGCACAACAAATGTGTGTGGATCACTCACCGATGTTACAGGTATCATATATGTGTGGGACCAGATGTGTCACTTGGGGTTATAGACCTCTGTAAGCCATGTCTGTAGGATCTATTGTTTCCAATTGCTGCAGCCATTGAATGGAACTGTTGTGGACTTTCTCTGAGAGACAGGCACAAAAAAGGACTACGATTTGTTTGAAGGTGACGAAGACTGATTTTTTTTTTGTTTTATATATAAAATTGCATTTGCTTCAACTAAAATGGGGATTTTAATCATCAAAAACTGTTTACATACTATTACCTATACCACTATTACTGTTATTACTACATCACCACCATCCGGATGGACCATGAATTGAGCTAAACAAAACCAGAAAACTTTTGTGCTTTTGTTTGTTTCATATATCTATTATCTGTTTGATCAGTTGTAAAATCACTCCTGTGATTTTACAAATTCTACAGCTTCAGACAACAGCACTAACTGAGGAAGCAGGGCAACAATATTGCCACAGCTGTTTCTGATTCTATGTGGATGTACACTTTGTGGACCGGGTGGGTTCTTTGGTCCTATTAAACACTGCTCCACTGTCAGACCTGGAATCCTTCACTTCTGTAAAATGTGACTCTGACTCATAATGCATAGACTTTGTGCTTATATTGGTCAAAGGTAGTAGTATTGCTTGCAATAGAAACATGTTGTTATGGCTTTGGGGGGGCAGGTTTACCGTGAGTGGTAACTAATTGTTGCTTCTCTCTTTGTTTTTGCTTCTCCTTAAAGGGACAGTGCATCACCATCAGTGACATTAATGAGTAACAGTAATAGATCAATCAATCGAAGTGGATGTTTTCTCATCAATCATGGATCTGTTTACTCATGTAGAAGAGTTTTCTTTGTGTCTGTGTTTACAACAGTGGGAGGGCATCTTTCATCTTTTTAAAAAGACAGAATGAGAGTATGAAGACAAGTTGACAATGTTTTATTGGATCATCCTTTTTTATTTTGAAGGTTGGGAGATTCCACTTATCCGTACCATCAATATTAGTCTCAGAGAAAATAATTTATGTACAGTGTTTTTACGGAAAAAAATAAAAATATTTGAAACCATTGTTTGTTTTTCTGGGTTTTACATCATATCCACTCTAAAAACGATACACAGTGGTGTTAGTGTGATGCTCACAACAAAGACAGAAATATAATATATTCATTATATAAATTATTGTTTTAAATTTGACGTTAATAATGTGACAAACTGTTACAGATTAAAGCAGTGGTTGTCTTGCCCCCACCTATCAAACGGCTATTTATGGTCATTGTTTCATCAGTAAGGTACTTCTTTATGCTTTGTGATGTTTAATTATGGACCGGGGATACATTTTTCTGCCACATATGTAGATTGCCTTTCATATTTCAAGTACACCTTGCTGAGTAGTTGTGTATTTTTTAAGTAAGACTTTGAATGCTGGAGTTGAATTTTGTAATTGAGTTTTGGATCTTATCCTTTGTCAGTTTTTCCCCTTTGTGTTCTTTGAATCCTGAAGCAAATCCTTATATTCTGCACTATAATTATGATGACCTACTGTGCCCATGTCATTGTGGCAAATGACGATGCCACCATGGTCTCCCAGCAGCAGCCAGATACGAACCATGGGGATTTATCATAATCTGCCTTTTGGATCCAGGAAGAGTTCATTTGCCAACTGACCTCAGCACAGACATTTTGGAGGGCATGGGATAAATGATAAAAAGGGCACTTTTTTTTAAACAAAACATAGGGTCAAGGGCGTGCTCAATGTGTCAGACCCATAGCACAATTTTTTTATGAGAGGAGCCTGGTAGCTGAATGCTCTACCTCCTGTTCTACTCTTACAGACTCCTGGAACACAAGACAGCCTGTGTTTTGGGAATGAAGTGATCTTTTTGGATAATACAGTGTTATGAGCTCTTTGATATATGGAGGGGCTTGATTGTTAAGGGGTTTATATGTGAGGAGCAGGATCTTGAACTCTATTCTCTTGGTAACAGTGGTTAAGACCTCATCACAACGTATTGCTCACAGTTTTGTTAGTTAATATACTTGATGGGAGATGTGCTGAGTGAAGAAAGAGTCCTTCAACAGAAGCAACGGTTTCCTCTCCAGACTGCTGAATTGTTTTCTTTTTTATGCCTCCTTGTTACAACAGCTTTATACCAACATATTGCTCACAGTGTTGTGAGCTAATGCGCTCGGTGGGACCTACACTGAATGTAGGCTGGCAACAGCTGCGTGGAGATCCTCTCCAGCCAATCGAGCGTCTTGTTTTTCCTCACACCAGTGTATCGCTTGCAGCGTCAAAAGCCAGTACACATACACTTCTATTGATACGCAGTTGACACTGATGAAGCCTGATGAATCTATCACTTATTTGAACTTGACAGACAGAAATGTCTTATTCAGACAAAAACTGAGGTCATTTTAACAGGAGGTAGAGCATTCAGCTATCAGGCTCCTCTCCTGTGGAACCAGCTCCCACTCTGGGTTCAGGAGGCAGACACCATCTCTGCATTTAAAGTTAAACTTAAAACTTTCCTTTTTGATAAAGCCTATAGTTAGTTCTGGATCAGGTGAGTCCTGAACCATCACTTAGTTATGYTGCTATAGGTCTAGACTGCTGGGGGAATTCCCATCATGCACTGAGCACTTCTCCCCTTCTTTCTGTCTCTCTGCCCCCCCACATTCATTTACTTATTTTACTACATGTCACTTACTTTGTGTTTTTCTTCAATCCCATAGTCAGTCTCTTTCCTTTTTTCTTATTATATTATTACTATTAGTAGTAGTAACTGATGCTGCTATTATAAATAACAGCTAGTCTGACAGAGCATAAATATGATATGATATACATCATTTCCTGGTCCCCGCCCCCACCAACCCATTTTTCGACCCATCTCTCTTGCAGTATTTTCTCTGCTCACCCCAACTAGTTGAAGCAGATGGCCGTCCACATTGAGTCTGGTTCTTCCTGTTAATGTGGGAGTTTTTTCTCTCCACAGTTGCCAAAGTGCTGCTCATTGTGGGAACTGTTGGGATTCTCTATAATTTTTAAGGTCTTGAACTTCTGTGCAAAGTACCTATATCAAAATATCAACGTGCAATTTTTTCAAGCCAATACATATGGCCATTTGAAATTCCAGAGAACAGCTAAAGACAAAATAGCTCTCCACCAGACCACCACAAACAGGTTAAAAGACAATATTCATAACACACAGGCTGAATTGAACAGGCAACTTTTTGCAAACTGGTTTTAATGAACCAAAGTTTAAACTGTGCTAGCTTAAGGAAAAAATCCCTGCATAATGGAAATCCACATTTTTAGCCCAGATATATTAAAACAGCTCCCAAATTTTGACGGAAAAGTCTGATTTATTGGGCAGTTTCCTCTGTCATAGTGAAAGATCAAATGAACTGAATATCAAGACTACTTTTGACTAATAGCAAACCTGTTTGAAGGAGGATAGAAACACATTTCAAGTATTCCTTGAGCAGATTACTATAAAAAAAAACTGGTTGACAACACAAAAGAGATAAAACTCAAACACGGAACTCATTCAAAGTCCTTATATTGCTAAAAAAATCTTTTAAAAAAGTCCATTCTAATCTTGAGAGTTTCTTCTGCCTCCCCGCCTCATTTAGCAGCTTCTTGTGGTGAGCTGTTTGGCATTCTAGGGTGGTTGATGGAATTAAAATCAATGACAATCTCAGTCTTCTTGGGCTTGAACTGCCTGCCAAAACATAAAGGAGAAAATACAATACAGATATGAGAATATTAACATTGAAAAAAATGGAAAAAAATACATTTATGACATTCAAAGTTTTCATTGTCTTTTGACCTGAACTGACCCTTTTGTGACTCTTTCTGTCTTCATGTGTCGACTGAGGAGAACAGAGTTTTGCTCCTGTGTATGCTAAAGCTGTTTTCAGACATGACCTTGTTGTGAATTTGTCCAAGTCTTGGCCCTTATTCATGTCAGTTATGGTGCAGTCAGTTGATGCATTCATATAAATAATTTAGCTTCCATTTCTACCATGATTTCTGTAGGAGTCAGTATGCTAACCAGCTATCCCCTGGAATCATCTCAAAATGCTCCAGTAGTCACTGTAATGTCCAATCTGCCGTGAAGAAGCAGCACTGCTCAGAGGGCACATCAACAATGTCTTGAGCACATTACCACCACCTGCCCTGACAAGAAACCATGTTCGTCAGAAAAAAAAACTGATACAGTATATATCACCTTAAAGGCATAAAGCAACAGACTATTTTTTTCCCTGTGTGCCATATACCATCGACCTGCAGAGCTGGAGAGCCCTGCCCCCACCGTATGAGACGTACGTATGCATGAAGCCCTGCCATCTGAAGAGGCTCTATCCAAAAAAAACTTGGTTTTATTTTAAAACCCAGGGGGTGAAACTGACAAAAACCCCACAACACATACATGTATACATACAACAAGGTATAATAAAGTGCCCTTCAGAAACAGTGGTTGGGGGATTCGTGCGTCTGAAACGAGTGGCTCTCCGGCTCTGCAGGAGGATGTTTTCCTGTGTTCCAGAAAAAAATTTACCCACTCACCTGCACTGAATGTCTGCCATACTGAGCAGCCTTCTGGAAGCAGTCATCTCCGGCGTGTCATGATACTTGTCTGACAGAAAGATCACTTCCCTAATACCTGATTAGAGGAAGATATAATTAAGGTTCGGAGGAGGCACGAGTGCAAAATAAAGCCTTAGGGCCTGATCTACTAAAGGTTTGCAAACTTGATTTCACCCACAAAAAATATATATATATATTGTATATGTGTATTTTTCAATGTAGTATTGCATGGTAAGATTTAAATTACCATAATATTTTCTCCTAAAAATACAGACAGTGCATATTGAAATGTTTTTCAAATTTTTATTAATTTCTTTAAGTATGTTAGGGATTTTAAACACCTGAAAATGTTGAATAAGAGAACACATATTCACAAAAATACCACCCATCGGTTTTACACACTGGTTGAAATAAATGTGTTTGTTGTGTCCATGGATTTCAAGCTTTTAGTTACAATGTTCCAATTGCCCAGGAGAGCACATGGTGCCCACTCATTTACAGTGTGTGCTGTGTGTACGCACTGTGTGTAACTGTGCCACTCTCTACCGATACAGCTTTCACTGTATGTGTAACTTTATCCCATGTGTTGTTTCTTTCTTTGTAGTTATTTTGTATCCACTGCTGACACAACAAAATATTACAGCTTCTTTCCTGTGTTTTGAGTCCTGCGAGCCACCTCTGCAAAATGCTGCGCCCGCCTCCCAACATAATTCTAGTACAGTGGAAAATGCAAGTGTGTGCAAACACACACACACTCTGCTGCTCACCTCTCTCTCTCTCTCTCTCTCTCTCTCTCTCTCTCTCTCTCTCTCTCTCTGTCAGCTGCCGACTCTGGCTACAGTTCAAATGTTGTTTGAAATGACCATAACATCAACATCACTCATCACATAATGATCGACACTCTTCTTTAATTAGTTAAATTGTTCTTCAGAGCAGTGCGTGCATTCATTAGCTGTCTCGCTCGCCCTCTACCTCTTTCACTGAAACACTGAGTCGTCCAGACACAGATAGTGTCATTGGAAAGCTGGAGGTGTCGGGGCACACTTGTTTGGCCTGATTCAGTTGGCAGTGCACAGAGTGATAAAGACACAGAGAGGAGCAGTAAATTACTGACAGAGCTGGTAAAACTGTAAAGAGTTTACTATCCAAATATAAATAACAACATTTTGAGACTGAACTTCATGGGGGTTTACTACAGCCGGATCACAGAGTTCATGTTCACTGGACTGACCATTGCCAAGATGTGACATCACTTCTCATTACCCAGAGGAAGACATTTCTGCACAACTGCATATATAACATAGAAATTTATATCATCGTCATCCTTCAGAAATTGGTATCAGTCACCCAAGGTTTTCAAGTGACTGGCGTGTATGAGTGTGTTTTGTCAACACTCACCAGCCTGGATGATGAGCTTGGCACACTCATTGCAGGGGAACAAAGCCACATACATGGTGCAGCCTTTCACGTCAGCGCTATTTTTGTTCATTATGGCATTCAGCTCTGCATGGCACACTGTAGGATGGAGAATTGGAATGGTATCCAATCAATACAAGACAAGGTTATTAGAGTTTTGAAATTTTCATTAGTTTTTTTTTTTTTTTTGCTTTTTTATTTCAGTTTAGTTTTATTTAGTTCAACAGGTGATTTTGTAGTTTTAGTTTAGTTTTTATTTTGAGGAATCAACTAGTTTCAGTTTAGTTTTAGTCTTAGTTTTTCCAGGTATTCAGACAAAGCCTTGACTTGTAGAAGCTGAAAAAGGATGAAACAATGTGTGACACCAAATATGGTTTATCAAGTCATTTAATTTCATTCTTTAACCATCACCTGCAGGACAGGCAGTAATCGAGGGAGAAAACAAGACGACAACGAAGCTGAATTTATCTGCAATTCAGTTTAGTTTTAGTTAGGTTTGCATTGTTCATTGTAGTTTTTATTTAGTTTTCGTTTTTTTTGTAATCGTTGTTTTTAATTTTTTCATTGCTAGTTTTAGTTTTCGTTAACTATAATAACCCTGATATAGAAGACACCGCATGTTTTCTTCTTCGAAGTCTAAGAATTTGGTTGTATTACAAACAAGGCTTTGAGCAGCACAAACAAAATTCAGTTTACCTCCAATTTAGTCTGGCCATCCCTCCACCTTACATATGCTTTCAGTTTTTGAAGCGGATTGTCAGATTACCATGGATTTTACTGTTGATATACATCATCGTCATTTCCAGCAATCCGGACATTTTCACTTGTAAGAAATGAATTAAAAACAGCTTAAAGACTGTACTTCTTAATAACAGTTGTAGTTTTATTTATTCTCATATATAAAAAAAAACTAAATGTAGATACATACATACCTGTAATGTTATGCATAAATACATAACATTACAGGTGGAATCCATAAAAACGCACGGGGGGGGTTGAGGATGGCGTGTGAATGACAATGTCAAATGGAGCAGATGTTATTATTGGCTAATTATTAATATTAGCAAAAATAATTATTAATATTCATCATATCCTAAATGAAAATTGATAATTGCAGGGCAACGCCCTATTATCAAGGACCAACTATCAAACTGTAAATGAATCTCAATTAAGGCTACTGCACACAAGAGGGTGCAGCTACTGCAGCTACGAGAACTCTAGGGGACCTGAGGGGGCGGGTAACAGTGCACATAGAGACTCCGCTGCGGTGTGTGTGTGCGCGCGCGTGCATGTGCATCTGTGTGTGCGTGCGTGTGTGTGTGCGTGTGCCTTTCTCCCTCTCAACTGAAGTCTCGTGACTCGCTACAGTTTAAAAGTTGATTTGACGGTCGCCACAACATTAACACTGATCATCACATAATCATCGATACTTTAATAAGTGAGTTAAATGTTTATTCAGAGCAGCACATTCATCAGCCGTCAGGCTTGCTGTTGTCCTCTCCCTCCCTCTTCCTCTCTCTCCCACTCACAAACAAACAGTGTGATCGGATGTTTGTAAAAAAATCAGTCTGAGTAAAAACCACAATAGATGTGAGCATTTATTACTTTATGTATTTTGTCTGTCAAATAATTTAAGTGTAAATAACACATTTAAGTGTACAGTACCTAAGAATAAACCTGTAAGGGGAGACTGAGACAAAGATAAAGTAGAATTAGAAAACGTATCTTATTAACTGAAAGAGATTAACGATTTCTTCATTGTTTATTTTGTATTATCCTCTACAAGCAAGTTGTCCATCTTTTAAATAGAATTGAAATGATTTAATAATAATTCACTTCCTGTCTCACCACGTTCCACTCTCCAATAGACCACTTAATGTTGCAGAGTGATTATTAAGTTTGACTCATGTCCAACAGAAATACTTGTCTTGTTGTGAAACCCAATGTAAAAACACTTGAACTGGAGGCAGCTAAAACTTGAAAGGGTTTATTTGCACGGTTTTAGCAAACGGGTTATAAACACACCTTAGCTCGGTCGGAGCCCGACTTGGTTATACATATAGTCCAAATGTCCGTTACATGTCCATCGTCACACTGCCCGTTGCATGTTTCATGTATCACGGTGTCACGGTGCTCTGCAGACTTCCCAAACTAAACGATACCTATGCAGTCAATAATATACAACTATGCATGTGCACTAAACTGCACTACAGCATCTGGCTGTCATAAACCATAAGCCGTAAATTAGCACCTAAAGCGGAATATAATTAAATACTAGCAAAACAAAAATATATACTTTGACTGTATAAAAATAATTTAAAATATGACGTAGAATAATTTTAGAACACAAGTCAAACAACTTTAACATTTAGTCACACACAAATGCAGGTTGCTGAGTGGATCCGCAGAGTCCAGTGCATGTCTGAAAGCAGCTTATGTGACACTTTGAATCCAGAAACAAAAACAATCAAAATTATTACAGATTGTGCAAAACTAAAGTAGAATGCTAAAGAGTGCATGTGATGTGTCCTCTCACCATAAGGGTATTTTGTGTCGAGTCGATCAGCAGCAGACCGGGACCATGGCAGTAGGTCATCATCACAGCCATTTGGCATACCATTGTAACCAATGCCAACTATCTTATTCTCCTGGTTCACTATACATGCCCCAACCTGCAAAGAAGAAGAAAGGTTCCACAGTTCGGTCTGATTGTAAAAGGGATAGTTCACCGAAAAATGAAAATTCACTCATTATTTACTCACCTCTATACTGACGGAGGGGTGGGTGCAGTGTTAGAGTCCACAACACACTCCTGGAGTCTCAGGGGTAAACACAGTTGCAACCAAATCCAATACAGTTGAAGAAGAGGTCACCTTGGCTGAAACACTGTTCACCCCTGAAACTCCTAAAGTGTTAAACACTTCACTTACCCCTCCATCAGCATAGTAGTGAGTAGATAATGAGTGAATTTTCATTTTTCAGTGAACTATCCCTTTAATTCGCTCAAATCATTCAAAATATCATACAGTACACTGTCCAGTCATATTTCACATATTATTAATATTGGCCTTTATGATATGGACTGACGATGTTTGTTTCAGATATGAGAGCTAGATTTTCTTCAAACGAATCGTCCTGTTTATTTGCAATAATCACTTTCATTAGAGCATATGAGACTTGCTGTTGTCTCAACTCAGCCACTGAATGGAATACAATTGTGTCTAACTATTAATATCATTATTATGGAAGTGTGACTTTTGGGATTTGAAAACATAAAAGATGAACTCTTATTTTTTGTATATTTAATTTCCATCATAAAGCCTTTCAGTATTTGCTCTTGTACTTAAGGTTCCATTTGGTCTTTCTCCCTGAAGGACTGCTACTTCAACTACTTTTTAGTTTTATGTTTTCTCCTATTTTTCTACCTAATGTGTTTCATGCACCAAACACCAAAGCAAATTCCTTATGTTGAAAATCTACTTTGCAATAAATCTGATTCTGCTATAGTAGAGCAGAGCTGTTCTTAAAAAACAACCTGACAGCATAACCTTCATGTATCTCAGAGAAACAGATTCTACTACGGAAAGAAAGGACAACTATTATACATTTAACTCTCTCCTATATTTGCATCAAGATCTAGATGTTTCTCAGTTTTACACATTCAAAAACTCACATACCTGCGAACTTGGGTCTTTGCTCCTTTGGGCTGAGAGAAAAGCTACAGCCATAAAGTACTCTGGCCATTCTAAGTAGTCATCTCTCTTCTTTGTTATACAGCTATTGAGAAACACACAGAAGAGAGAATGAAATTAAAAGGTTTTTTGATCTAAAAAATGTTTTTTAAGTTAAGCAACTTTTCTTTTACAGAATTTACAGCTTATTTTTTCTGAGCAGTAATTCCCTCAGTCTACACACCTTTCCAGGTACTTCATTTGTATTTAACTTGTATTTTTATTTCCAACAAGATAGTCATAAGCACAGTCCATTCACAAACCCCATGGGCCTCTTTCGTGATTAACTCCTTAAGTTTTTGTTTTAATTTGAAAGTAAAACATTCCAAAGAAAACTCTCTGCACCTGTATTATTATATTAATAATTCTAATTATTTTAGTAAATTGAAAGCATTTGCAATATATTCCTGGTTAGCAGGTAAACACTGATAAAAGGGCATAAGATAACAAGGCCTTGTGCACACACAGAAACCACAGAAAAGGAAAAGAACATTAAGAATGAAAATCTTAAGACAGTGGGGCACTGCAAAAAAACTTGAGGGACTGCTGCAGGAGCCCAGCAAGGTAGAATTTAGTAGTGTCAGCAGTGGATGTATTCAACACAAAAGAAACATGAGATGCTGTTACACGTTCAGTGGATGCCGTATCAGGAGAAAGTTGTTAGTAATTGATAAAGTAGAAATTAAGGGTTTTTATCTCAAATCTGAAGCCAAAGAAGACATTGCCAAACATCAGAGAGAGAAGCTGACTGCTGGAAGGGAAAAGGTTTGCCTAACTGGACCAAGACATAGGGACCATCATTGGAAACAGCATTCACAGACCTGGGCCCTGTGTCAGCCGTTGCATCTCCTGGGCACATCTTCCCCCTCAGAATCAGAAAGTAAGCACATTTTTTGGAATTAACAGGCTACAATTGGATGAAACATTCTAACTAAAAGCTGTAGCTGTGAAACCAGGGAACATGTGACACGATTTATATGGAAACACCAGTGTGTAAAACCTAAAGATGGGTGACTATTTTTTTCAACATGTATGCACAAAGTTTGCATGCAAAATGTTATAATTTGCTTTTGTAGTATGGACCAAACATTAAATAATTCAAACAATCCAGAGAGGCGACGCCATTGTCACATGAGCTATACAAGGCACTGCATTACCCTCACCTCATCACAGTATGAACTATGTATTAAAACAAACCCAACTGATCAACTATGAAAACATGAGCCAACTATTTTATAATCTTTTTTTTTTAAATCAATAACCCTAACCCTGATTAAATTGCTAAGTTGTTCCAGCCCTTTTATTAATTATGAAATAGTATGGTCATTTAAATCCTATACTTTCAAATTTAAAGTTAAAACACAAAAACAGATTTTTTTTATATGTATGTCCAAATGTGTGCAAGTGTGCACTTGAGTGTGGATTCAGTGTTTACCCAATAATTAATCCTAAATAAGAAAACACTGGTATATGTTAGAATCTTCATAAAAAGGGCATAGGTGGGGTTTAAGCAGAAACCACTTCTTAAGAATGGTTGGTGAATGGGGCCCAATCACACTTTGCATGTATAATCTTCAAGAGAAGGTTGAACATCATACCTACAGTATACAGCTGTTTCCAGCACAGAGGAAACAAGCCGTACTTTCATTTACTGAAATCTCGTGTACGTTCTTTAGGGTTTGTGCCTGAGCTTTGCAGAGAAAACGCTTTTGGCTCAATTTCGGCTTGGTTCAGGTTTGTCAGCATTCTCAGTCGCTTTTTGACTTGTGACTATTTAAAGACTAACACCCAGTTCCAGTGTCAACACCAGCATGTGTAAAGAGATCTAGAAAAAATATTATTGAATCTGCTGTAATCATATTAAACTTCTGGGGGAGAATTCACACACCAAACATTTGATTTGCATACAAATGTGATGGATTGTTATAGATTCATTTAACAAACACGTGAAACACAACTAACGTGACAGAATTACTGTTCTGCACACGTAGTACTGAGGCTTCAACTAATAATACTTTAAATTCCTTCTTGCCTGTAATTATTTTGTAGTTTCACATTTTTTGTAGGACCTACACTTTAAATATTCTACCTTCACTGTCCACCACTGTCACAAACTACTAATCCAACTGCTGTCAGGACACTAATCTAAACATGTGCACAGTTTGTATGTTAATAAATGCATGTATGTACGCACAATAGCAGCTGCACAAACTTTGTGTCAAGTTAAAACTAGTTACCCGTCCATGTGAGCAGACTTCGGCTGCGGAATTTCGTCCATGCTCTCCCAGACACGGGGTTGTTCGCTTCACTCTGCACGGTGGTTGGACTGATGGATGGAAAATACCGCGACTGCAAACTACACCTCAACCCGGAAGACGACTTCTTTCTTTTTTGACTCCACCTTTTTAAACCAGCTTTATTAACATCGTTGAGATTTTACTGCAACACCGGACGCTGTAGTTTCAGGAACGCATTTCTCGGACGCTGGGTTTTCGTGACACTGCCCCCTAACGTCCGCCCGTATCCACACCTGGACGGTGCACGTGGAAGCGGCTCACAGCCGGTAACAACCCGTGTCCCTCTCTGGAGCGCGGAGATCCCACAGCAGAGCCTGAACACACGGATCTTGACGACCCGCGAACTCAAACAGCGACATTTCAATGAATCACAAAGTGGATTTAGCGTGAGAAGGAGCACGCGCCTACTTCCGCTTTTCAAAATAAAACCTTAAAGGTACAGTGTTGAAATTTCATGTTGCAGCTGAACACCCCTCACCCCACCCTCTCCTTCCAAACATGAAAAAGAAACGGTGGTAGTCTTCAGTTGTCATAAAAATTAAAGAGGAGTTTAGGTTGTCCAGTCTGGACTAATGTAAAAAACATGGCGGCCTCTGTAGAGAGGGACCCCTCAATGTAAATATAAAGTATTTAAATATAAATGGTCTTTTCTGGGGTAAAGAAAACTACAATTCATACATTTTAGATGAAATGAACTAGTGAAAACATCATGAGGATTATTCTACATTAAATTTCTGCATATAGATCCCTTTCACCTAAATCTTACACACTGGACCTTTAACAGATCAGATTACAGGGATTTGAATTTTGATTTCCCACAGCTGTAAACTATAATCTACTCTGATCTCTTTCTTCCACAAGTAGTTTATGAGCCTTATATTTTAGATATTCATACATCTTTAACTACTTATATTAGGAAGTACTTTGATCCACTGCAATGTTATTCCTATTGAAAAAACATTCAGCCTATTATTTTAATTTGTTAGTTTACGATAATATATTTTTTACATGAGTACATCTCAAATTACTTTTCCAAATAGTATGAAGAACTTTTACTGTGTAGTTTGTAAATCCACTGCCAAAATCCCTTCTACCTAACAAAATTCCACCTATTCATTTAACGTTGATGTGGAATAAAATTATTTCTTAGTAGTTTATGAGGCTTATACCTTTCCACTTAGTGCTTCTTTAGTGTTGTTTTGGAGTACTGCCAAACAACCTACTAGAGAACAAAATTCAGCCGTATGTTCCAATGTCAATCCAGTCCCAGAGATGGCATACTTATACATGCAATATTTCCACCTCCACAGTGGCAGTCGGTCAATAGAAGGCCCTTGTGGAGAGTGTTTTATTTATTTTTTTGTTGAAAAATGTTAACATTAGCTGTGATAAATTATTTAAGTATTTATGTGTTTAAATTTCACAAAAGCATGGCAGCCGCCAAAATCTGTACAATCTCTTCTCCAACCTCCATTCGAGAGGAGAACTTTGGTTGAAAAACGGCAAATTAAAGGAATTGGACCCGATTAACCTGATAGCCAGCGAAAAAGGGTAAACGTACACCCGAAGATTTTCCACTGCTACAGCAGAAAGGCTTGGCTAGCAGGATGTATAGAGTATGAGTCACTAGATATCAAGCAGTATATGGCACCTCCTTGTCAGCACTCGTGCTGCAGCATTTTGGACCAACTGGAGGCTTTTCACAGTCTTCCTGGGGCATCCTGATAATAAAGAGTTACAGTAATCCAGTCTCGAGGTAACAAATGTGATGACTAGTTTCTCAGCATTCTTCTGAGACAGGATGTTTTTATTTTTCATAATATTGCGCTGGTGGAAGAAAGCTGTCCTAGAGACTTGTTTTATATGTGGGTCAAATGACATGTCCTGGTCAAACATACCAAGGTTCCTCACAGTGGAGCTGGAGGCCAAACTGACACCATCCAAGTTAACTATCTGGTCAGACAGTGATTCTCTGAGATGTTTAGAGCCGATTACAACAACCTCAGTTTTGTCTGAAGTTAAAAGTAACTTTCACTGAAAGAAGTATGACACAGTTTTAAGGATATAGCATTTTATTGTGGAGGGGTAATAGTGTACAAATCATCTACTTTAATCTCATCAGCTGAGGCCTTCGTCCCTGAATAAATGTTGATGGTGACAGTACCTTTCTTAAAATAATTTCACTACATACAGGACTTTCTCATTTTGCCTAAAAAGTCCAGGTAGCTTGTTAGAAAAGCGACAAAGCAAGCTGTGTGTGTGTGTGCAATCATTTATCACATGTTTGCAAATGTTGTGGAAGGTTGAGTGTTCTTCAACAAATTGGAGGTGCTCCTCAGCCTGCAGATTTCAGTCACAATCCCACATGAGAGAGAGAGAGAGGGGGATAGAGAGAAAGACAGACAGATGTGACTGGATGTAGCAATAACACTGATAAATAAAAATGCCTTATTGAAAAGGAATCTGTGGTATTATCTGTAGCTTTGTTTGGACTCAGAATCAGGGAGCACTACTATCTCATGATTGAAAAATGAAGAACTTACATGTTGGTGATGCTCTCTAGCCTGTCTGTGAGGACCTCCTGGACAAAGAGACAGGACAGAAAAGAAATCATGTTTCTACTCACAGAGAAATATAAGGCAGTTTGATCTCTACAGTATTATTTGTGCAAGGCCCCTGTGTGTAGTGTGTGGGGAAACACTGTCTAATGAGGCAATGAAGCTCTCAAAACTGCTTGGAACAAGAGGATCTAAGCACCAAGCAATTTAAGACATACCACTTCAGTTTTTCGAGGAAGGACAGAAGCAGGTAGCGAAAGCTACCACATCAACAAATATGACTGTGCTGAGCTCCATACCTCATGGCTCAACGTATTGCTAATGCCAAGAAGCATTTCACTATTGGTGAAGAGTTGATCTTCCATGCTACTATATACATTTGGGAGAGATATTGAGGCACAATTGTTAGACTTTTTGAATCTCCATGGAATGCAATTTAGATTGACGGATCCACCGATGTTGACAACAAGGCAATCCTGCTTGTATATATTTCACAAGTCTGTGGATGAGGACAGATCCAGAAAATGTAATTGATTCTACAGGTGTATACATAGATAGTGTTGCTGCCATGACTGGACGGCTGTCTGGTTTCACCCCCTCGCGTTGTGTGTAGCAGATGAATTATGTGCGCACGTGTTTTAATATGTGTCTCAAAAACTCTGAATACACGGAAAGGGAGAGACTCGGATCGAACCACTGAAACTATGGATAGGATGACCTGCCCTACCTCTTGAGCCGCAGCCGCCCAGTGTAGGGAACAACTAGTTTTGATGGCTAGGTCTTGTAAATGTGCTTTAGTAAGATACCTCACTTGATTACATCTTCTGTCACAGCTCATTTAAAAAAAAAAAAAAAAAAAACATAAATAACATTTGACAACAAGGTAATGTTTTCTACCATGAAATATCTGCTCTTGGTGGAAGATCAACTCCCCCTACACCTAACTTACAAAGTTTGATCTTAGAGGCATAGAGGCAGTCTATATTGGGTGGGCAAAATAAGGGTGTTTGCAAACCTAAAAGTACAGACAGTCCTTTGCTCTGTCTCACCTTTGAAGAATCAGGCGTGGTGCTGAAGGTGCTGGATGATGGAGATGGTTGTGCAGCCTTTACCTAAAGAAGAGAGGCGAAATAGCAAAGGGAAATGCATAATGAGAAGTGTAAATACATTGCATACATTTTATGTGAAATATGGTTGTTGAGGATTCATCTAAAAACTGGCTAGTGGTAGTTTCGATCAACACACATTTTACCACCTATTACTAAACTGTGCAAAAAAACTGATACAGCTGATCAGATCATTTGTTTCCACAATAGTGTCAATAGTGACAATAGTTAGTTAACTGTAGTTATTTCTTAATTTCAAATCATTTAAATTTGCTTATATTTTCTAAACTAACATATAATAACATTTGTTGGAAATAGCTACACAACAGCTGACAACAGCAATCATACCAAGCCTGGTTCACAACAAAACTACTATTACTGCAGGACCAGTAGATGCATGGCTTATACCATACAAACAAAGCCATACTTTTATGTGAGGAAATACACTTGTTATATCAGTGCTAGTTCGGTGGAGCTAGCTTCGTCGCTAGTCACCTATAGTGCCCTCAAAAATGCTGACCCGTGCATTACAGGGGAACCAAGATGACAGAAGGCTATGTTTGAAATGCAGACGGCATTCACCCCATGACGTTTTTGGTGCTGCCTTCACTACACAGAGTACAACCAAGCTTAAGTCTCCTGGTGTACACAGGTTGCCTGTATCCTGGAGCAGGCTGTTGAACTGTTTATAAAAACATTTTAATATTAATTACACCTTCCTTTAGTCCTGACGTAATGGCACTCATCACCTGCATGTGTGCTTCCGCTCAAGCATAAAAATTCAGACTATTAACCAAACATTCAAACTTCACTGCACTGCACTTGTCCTACCTGTGGATTGCTCAGTTCCAGTTTAGTTTCCAATAATAGGAGTCTGCTCATTAGATTTTCCCAGCTCGTGCTACATATGGTGACAAATTCTTCTCCATTCTGGAATAAAGAATGGTAGATACAAAAAAATTGCATTCATAAAAGCTCTTTTTAGGTGCAATATCATATCTTATTAAATTGTCTTAGCACTCTCTCTAATAAAGGAAAAAATATATAAAATGGGAAAGAAATGGAAGATTGAAAGAAGTAGATTGTCTCATCAACCTTGTCTGTCTTTCTCCCTCGCTCAAGTTCCTCCAGGCGTTTCTCCAGAATCTTGAGCCTGTCTAGTCCAGACAGAGTATTTTTTAGCTGAGTTTCCATTGCTAAGAGCCGTCTATCCACTTCAGACAACTAAAAGACAGAAAAGACCAGTGTTTTCTCCAGACATTTTGAAGGATAGGTAATAATCACCAAAAACCTAAATCTCAAGGCACAGAGAATGGAAAAACGAAGTTGTCAGAAATTAAAAGCAGCAAGCAAAAAGCTTAACTCTTAATAAACACAAATATAGACATATTGTATTTTGTAATAATACTCTGTTACCTAAGACCTTTGCAAAAACAGCACATCATGAACAAAGTAGGCAAAATGTATCATATATACACACACACATATAAGCTTTCATTAACTTTGAATAATTATATTATATAAAATATTAATGTACGCCTTTACATGCAACATGATATCCTTGTCATCTTTTCCTTCCGCCAGCTCTGAGATTCCATTTTCAGGAGAACTGGTGGCCTGGACTTCATTATGATTAGAGGCGGAGCTTACTTTATGGGATTGGGAGGGGTTTGTGGGAAAAGAGGAAGGATTTTGTATGAGAGTCATACCAAATGACCGGGACACCTGTAACACATACAAACACAATGGCATATCATTATTTTCATGTATTATTGGATTACTATCATTATATCATCCTGTATCGTGTTGGCATCTGATTGTGGATAGTGATGGTGGACCATGATCGAGGCGGCAGCCGATGGTGGATCCTGATGGCGTCATTGGATCATGACGATGGATTGTGGATTATGGTGGCATCTGATCGTGGTGGCTGCTGATCGACTATGATTACAACAAGACTACTTGATATACAGTATGTCTCCTCAGAAACCATTTCTGAAAATAACACCTCAATTAATTTACTTTCCATTATGCTACAAACTGTTAATTCTAATCAATGTTGTAAAGAGGGATCCCTCACATGTGGCTCCCTCTGAGGTTTCTTCGTTCTTGTCGGTGTTCACCAACATCTTCAACCTCTTCCTTAGTCAGTCCTTAGATAAGAGTTATATTTCTTTTAAAGGCTCAATTTACGAGCATAAATATACAAACAAATAGGCAGCAATGCAACTATATTTATTTAATGCAATGTTCACATTAATATAAATTCATATTTACAGCATCGGTTCAAATATTCAGCTTCTCAGTTCAACAATATGTTCTGCAGAGGAGCTGCTACTGCAGCACATTGTTTTTGCATAGGCTGTGAATATGGCCTTAAATATGACTATTTCCTTGCATAAACAATACAAATAGATTAATGCTGCAATAGTAAATTGTCTTGTTGTCTTGTTGCCTTATTCCTGTTGTATCTGTTGTGTTAGGAGCCACAGAGTAAATAACTTTTTTCCATATTACTATGGGAACCTGTGACAAATTCAGCAGAGGTGTGGAAAGTTCTGGATTCTGAAATGCATTGCAATGCAGACGTGGTCGTCCTGTACTGTGTTGGTGTCTGCTTCCTCCTCACTCACCCGCTGACCTGCACTCACTTTAACAATAAACACCTTGTACTTGACGCTTACTTTGTGTTTGTTTGATTCGCTCTAAGTTTATGAGACATGTTTTAACCTGCAACACACAAAACATAATGTGACGCGCACAGCCAGCACATCAGGGTTAAAGTGACCGCAACAATCCGAATAGTATAGTACCTAATACTTACACTGCCTACATCAGTCAGTGTTGGATGAGCCTCTCTACCATCCTTGTGTGAGCCTGGACATCTGCCTCTGGGCTTTAACAAACAAACACATAGAATTACTGTTTAATGTTGTTGTTATTACTTTAATAGTGTCATTTCAGGTCTTCTCCTAGCTTCACTGATATCATGCCACAGTTAACAATAGTCACACAAATAGGATTTAATAATAATAATAATAATCAAGGCTGTATCATCAACAATCAAGTCCTTGCTTGTTGGTCAACAAGACATGGGTGCAGCCCCTACCTGGAAATTTAGCTCGCCTGGATCCTTGCAGTGTCGGCCACTGGTATGTGTGGCTGGGCCGGCCTCGCCCTGGTCCTGTTTTAACAACCATGCACTGAGCTTGTGTTGGTTTCAGTTCATTGAGATGAATTGATAAATTCAGACAGAAACAATATATTTTTTTCCCTTTCCAACTTTTTCATTCTTTTTCATTCTTTTTCCAGTGTTTTGTTCGCTGATATCTTTGCACTACGGACACCACAGACGACATCAACTTCTGCGTGGAGAACACTCTATCCACCAGGACTGTACAGTGTTTCTACAATAACAAGCCATGGATTGATCCAGACATAAAAGCCCTCCTCAAGGAGAAAAAGAGGTCAGGAAACAAGAAGGAGCTGAGGGGGAGTATCAGGGAGGGGAATAACAGCTACAGGAGGAAGATGGAGGACCAGCTGCAGGAGAACGTCAGCAGTGTCTGGAGAGGCCTGAAAACCATCTCTGGCCACAGGAAAACTGAGTCCCAGGCTGCAAGGGATCAGAAGTGGGCAAATGATCTAAATGTGTTCAACAGATTTGATCAGAATAACATAACTTGGTCTCCGTGAACAGAATTTAAATATATACGTGTTTATTTTCATATAGGGCGGGGAAGTTAGATCCAATCAGAGATCCAATCACTAGACGCATGTAGGGCCACATGTTAATACCAGGTGTGAACACAAGCACTCAGAGCTGTCCACTTGAGATCAGATCACAAAAACCCAATGTTAATACCAGGTCTGTTTGGGGCCAAAGGCACCCACTGCAGGACACCATCACAGCACTGGGCCGCTCCTCCAGCGACAGACTGATCCACCCTAAAGCTGGGCATACACCGTACAAATTTAGAAATGCTGTTGTGGCCACAACTGCAAACAGGGAGAGCTTGAGATGTTGTGGGTGTGTTAGCATTGGGATAACCCTAACCCTTTATGTAGGTTTATCCTATAAAATTAAATATTTATTAGGAATGGAAGATTGACTCCCTGTGGGAAGTTAATGCGCAGAGCAAACTCTCCCTAAAGGGAAGGATAAGGGAAGTTGAATACAATGGTTGGTTAATCTCTGCCGCTAACACACCAAGTACATCTCAATCTCATGCGACAGGCACATGTCTGTGACACTGGTGACTGTGCACAGTCACGCTCTTCCTGCGCACCGGACAATCATGTGCACTTTGCACGGTGTGTCGTGGCTCACGAGGATCAAGCCATATGTTTTTGTGACTTGTAACGTTTACACCGCAGTGTGTCCTCAGAGTCAGTGTATATAGTGCGTGTCAAACTAAAGCCCATTATAGAGGCTACATCATGTGATCAAGTGAAACGTTTAATTTCTCATCCAAGCAGCTTCTTTAGTTCAGTTCGCTGTAACTGTGTTTACTTCAGATAAAAAGGAAAAAAGGCAAAAGGAATCAACTCGTGGCTCTGCTTCAACTGTGCGAGACAAATAGTTAGGGCAAGTTAGAAATTTATCAGAGCGTCCGACGGTCCGTCCGTGAGTGGTTAAGGACCCACGACAAAGCTGAAAATCGGGGGGGAAAAGGCTTAAATTGTACAGTGTATGCCCAGGTTTAGTGTCTGAAAGAGAGGTATCGCAGGTCTCTCCTTCCTGCAGCAGTAAGACTGTGTAATCAGCTCTGCTCCCAGTAGGCCGCACGCACCTTCTATTGATTTTTGCACTTTAACTCAGGCTTCACTTTTTAACTGTGCAATATACATTTCTGTCTGTGAAATTCAATGGCTGAAGCGTAATACATTTTACTGTACATACTGTATTTTCACTATATATATATATATATATATATATATATGTTTTTATTCCATTTATATATCTCCCCATATTTATAAGTATTGCATGCCATTTATTATTCCTTCCTTGATCTCTATTTTTGCATGCCCTCTTGCTGCAGTACTGTTGCAAATTTCCCAACTATGGGACGTGGCATCTATTGCACTTTTGTCCATTCCCTTTTAAAAAGGTTTTTTGGTAGTTCTTCCTTACTCTTGTTGAGGGTTAAGGGCAAAGGATGTCACAGCTTGTTAAAGCCCTATGAGACAAATTGTGATTTGTGAATATGGGCTATACAAATAAAATTTGATTGATTGATTGATTGATATTAAAGTTTTATCTTATTTAATCGTATATCATCTCTATAAGAGTTTAGCCTCCAGTTACTAGCTCTGACCAGCTCTTTGTTTTAGTAGCAGAGGTGAAAGTAAGCTGATACCGACCAAGACTCTGTACCACTAAATGCTTTAGTGCAGCTACGCAGAACAGGGAAGAGGGGACAACAGCAGGCAGTTTGAAAAAAGGTTTGACAAGCAGATGATTGGCAGACCCCCTGTTTGTCACCAAACACAAGGTGATTGTCACATTGTTCTACAATAAAATGGTAGGTTGGTAGAAATTGTACAGGTTATGCAGTCCAGAGACACAACAAAAGAAATTAACCACTTAAAATACTGTACCTTTTTCAGTTGGTTATGTTTCTTTAGGACCAAGTTAATGACGTCACAGATGACAGAGATTTTCCTTTGAGAGAAACCCCACTGGAGAAACTGCTGCTTGGTTAGTATGGGCTTGTAGTGGAATATATCTCTTAGGACCTAAACACACAAAACACTCAATCGTACATTGTAACAAATGTCCCTGTGAACTTGAAACAACAGTCTATAGTTGTCATAAAGGAGTCCCAATTCCTTCTGGCAACTCATCACAGCTAAACCCCCCTCACAACAAATATAACTATGCAGTTATAGCTCTGTAAAATAACATTAACATTACTTTAACTTGTCAGTCAACATGGTTATTTGGCTTCTAAGATTGCCGTTTTCTTTTCAGCCTTGTAAATAAATGTGTAACACTTTGCATGGGGGAGCTGAAACATTGTCTTGTATTTATTACACGGATAATTGCACCCTAAAATAATACGTTTCAGCCACATTTAATAGAATAAAATAATTACACTTCTACTAACACAAAAGCATTTACATTTTATATTCCAGAATTTAACTGAGGCATTTTGTTATTTATTCTCCCCTAAAGTATTGTTGTTAACATAGAAGGAGCATGTGTCAGTTTAGAGTGACGTGTGATGTCATCAGTATTAGAGTGTATATATATACGACAGAGTAATATCGCTGTTGATATGTGTGTATGGATGCTGAGAGTACCAGCTGCTTCCATAGAAGACTTTAGGCTTTAAGAGTGCAACAATAACAATGTGAATTATACCTCCCACCTTTAGGGGGAACTCAAGTGCAGCAGAGAGCAAATTCTACATTGTGTTGCTTTAATCCTCCTGTGAAAACACAATGCTCAAAACGTGTGTATATGTTGTTGTACCTTGTAAAGCTTGTCTGTGAATCGGAGGTCGGTTTTGCCAGTGAGCTCCAGTCCAGCTGACATCAGTTGCTCAGCAAGAGGTGGAGAGAAGGATGTCAGGGTAAAGCTCACTATTGGAAGAAAAGCTGAGGGATCTCCTTTTGACAGACTGATGGATAAACATATAATGTTATTAATTACATTAATATTTAGATTAAAGGTTCAGATTCCACACACCGAAGAGAGAGATCTAGAGGTGAGGTGTCATGTTGCAGTTGACATCTCCTCATCTCACACTCCCCTCCCAACATGACAGATGAAAACTCAAAAGGTTTTAGTTCGTCCAGTTTGGACTAATGTAAAAAAACATGGTGGCCTCCACAGAAGAGGACCCCCCCCTCCATGTAAAAATAAAGTTTCTAAATATAAAGAGCCCATTCTATGTTAAAGAAAAATACAATTCATACAATGAAGATGAAACACACCAGTGAAAACATCACTAGGATTATTTTTTTAATTACATTTCTGCCAAAACTCCCTTTCACCTAAATCTTAAATACTGGACCTTTAAAGTCTGCAAAGAAGACTGTTTGCAAAATGCGTCACCACAACTTCACTGTGGTATGCTCGTTGTTTACGATCTGCTAATAAAGAAGAAGCCGTCCCCCTTACTCAAAGCTCCAACATGCTTTTTCTTTAGGTGCATATTACAGTCATGTTTTCTTTGAAGGCTTGAATGTTATGTGTCCCCACTTTAATGATTGCTGCTTCCCTGGTTCAACAAGCAATGAAACAAAAACATATTTTCTGATTGTTTTTTTGGTTCACAACAGTTACATTCTAAAGCACAAAAACAACCTGCAGGAAGATGTAGCATTGCCAGGTTATACAGACATGAACTCAGCTAAGTGCAGCTTGTCTGCTGTGTCCATAATTTAAGTTCATATTATCTACGGCATCATTCTGATTGGTTAAAACTTTTTTTATTGTATCTTAAACAGAGGCAAATATATCATGAACTTGAATTATAACTAGTCAGAATTTAATTGTAGATATCTGAAACTGGAATTAAGTTGCAGATATCAATAATATTTAGAAAGCGTATTTACAAGAAGTGGAGGGAGTTGCTTTTTGAATACTGCTACATAAGATGATCAACATATAAGTAGTTATTTGTTGCTGCCCCAATTTATAATAAAACTTTTCTAGTCTTGATGACCACTCAAAATTGCTTTACAATACAGTTTTTCGCACACGCATTCATACAGTGCATCTTTGTGTCATGCATCATTGCTGACATATCATTACTTGCATGAAGTGGCATCAAATTCCTTATAAATTTGTTGAACAGCAGTTAGTGATGAGAGCATGGTGACGCACATGCAAAGTAATAATGCATTACTTTGTTGATGGCCTCCCAGGCTACTGGATGTGTGCTCGAATAAATATTAGAGAGGTGGAATCATAATTCTAAGATTAATCTTACTCGAGCTATTTTGCAATACTACATTATTTCTTGGTGGTTATGCATTTCAGTGGTCATTCTTTACTTCTTCTCATTATGAGCCTAGGATGATCTAATTGTGTCTGCTGCAAATCTGGATTTCCTCTGTCCAACATACAGCTACCATGAGCATATCCTGCTGGCCCATCACAAATGATCGGCGGTGACCTGACATAGAATGACCCATTTTAAAACTGTCATTTCATTATTCTAAAAACAGACACAGAAATATACCATGTTCACTGTTTTTGGTGTAAAAACGCACACTGACTTGTCTGCAGAGGTCACATTCATTCTGCTTATTCGTCTTACTACTTTATTAACCCTATGCTAGGCTAGTGGAACATGAATCCGTGGTGTTGGGGCCTCTAAGCACTGTCGATCGTTATTGGTAAGATGTAAATGGGACTTTTAACAAGATACAGATGAGCAGAGAAGTGGCATTAGTTAGTTTAAGTGCTTACCCATTGTAGTCCACACATCCTGGATACCTTATCACCCGCAGGAGACTTTCCAGTGTACGAAGACAACCTTGGACATCTCCAGTAGACAGCATCTTTAACCCGGGTCTGAGACAGAGGCACCAGCCTTAAAGGCGGGTTTTTTTGGTTATGTGACAAAACACAACCACTTATATCATGAACCGCTTGTTTCACAGTAATATTCAAACACGATAGACATCATTCGCAGCTGACTTCGATTCTTTTCGCGGCTCCTTTCCTTTTTGCCGGGGATCAACAACAACGAGTGGGATTGGCCGGTGAGCTCTTCTTCTACTGTTGCTGCTTCTTCGTCTGTGTAGCTGAGAGCGTTAAGACGCTACTGGACGTGTGACTGCCCCCCAGAGGATGGACACGGCACCACACGGTGTTTGCGTGTGTGTGTGTACGCGCGTGCGTGTGTGTGTGAGAGTCTAAAATATCTCCACAAATAATAGAGAGACAATTCAAAGCTTATATTAATCAGAAAATGATCAATATATTCATCTGACAATGTGCCCCAGCATGTCCAGGGAACCACTACAGTCTGACTTTTATAGCAACTCATCTTTACACAACGTTAAACTTTTTTTTTTATTTCGTTTCATTTTCACATCCCTAGAAAAGATTTTACCTGTACATCCGATTACAGCCATTTTTCTCTATATTGCAATCCCAGCTTGGCTTATCCCAGGTTTGAGGGCATCTCTCCTATATAAACAAGCAAGGCAGGATTGGGTTCTAAAGTATCTGAAACAGAATCCTGATGCCTTTGATTATAGTGATCTAAGGGTTTGTAAAAGAGCAATATTGATTCAAGCTGATCCTGCCATCTGCAGTCTAGCAGCAGGGGTTGTAACCAATTTCACAGTATGTCCACTGACCAAGGTCATTAAAAAGAGAACATTAGTTATTACCACTTGAGTCTGTTGAATGCTCTTAGTGGTCCTATCCACCCTCTCCCGTCGCTGGACATGCAATGTTGTCCAATCATTAGGGCTAGAGTAGATGTGACAGTGATTTATTTTGTGTTTCTATTACATTAATGTATTCTCATTGTGTGTATAACAGTTTTAGCTTTATTCTCTCAGGTGAAACCCTGGAGGGTTCAAGCGCATTTGGGAGTAAATAAAAATGAAACATAAAAATATGCTCCACAGCGGTAAATAGGTCGATTTTTATTTCTTTACAATACAACAGTAAAATGTACATTGCATACAGTGCCGAGTTTCTCTGCATCACCCACAGTGAACAGGTAACAAATAAATAATCATAAAGCCATGCAGACAGTCTGTGTTACTGTGAGCACATTGCTCCGTGCTTCATCTCAGGTTGGATATGGTTCCAGCAGCTTACAAAGGTTTATCATATTTCCTTAGATGAGAATCTATATCTTTCATGAAGATACTCATCAGAGTAGGCAAAAGTATTTGAGGGGTTTGAAGACACTTGCCCTCCTCAGAGATCCATTCAGTGGACCATGCACTGCTTGATCTCTTATCTCCAACTTGACCTGCTCTTAACAGTTCAACATAAGATACCATGGTGATATGGTTTTTATTTTTTATCAGATAGTGTCATCTCAAAAAGAATAGGCAAAAGTTACAGTTCAAAGTATTTGGTGGTTTTCCACATAACAAATGGTTCTCTGGACAGGAGCATTGTAAGCCCAGTTTTGTTTTCAGTCTTTATAAATTACATTTTTAGTATAAGATCTATTGGTATGGCATTATTTGCAGATGATGGGATAGCACGAAAAAGAGGAAGAAATATAGACTTTACAGTAAAAAATAGAAGAAAACATGGGTAATGGAGTGGGGATTTTAGATTTTCTGTATTGAAAACAAAGACACTCTATTTTACAAGAAGGAGAATTCAAGAGCAGACTACCATTAAACTTTACAGACAAAGCTTAGAAAGGGAGTAATGTCTCAAATATTCAGGTATATGGTTTGATAAGAATCTTACTTGGTCAACTCACACTAAGAATATTGAGCAAATGTGATACAGAAAATTGTGAGTACTATAACACACAGGAAACCATAGCGCGTTTAACGATTAATTGGCATCAATGCCGACAGGAAATGGAAATTCTCATTGGCAGATGAAAAATATCATATCAGCTTTCACCTGGAATAAATGATGACATTAAACTGGGCGTTTAAGGTATAAGTTGAGATGTTCTTTTCTTACGAGAACAGGACTAACAAAAAGAATATAGCATAGACTCAAAACTGTCTGATCCACACAGTTCACAAGGTGGCAGTAATTTACCTAAAGGTTGTTTGCCAACCGCCATTAAATAAAAAAAGCAGCAGCAGAAGAAGAAGTGGTCATACAGGTCTTAGCACCCTGAAGATAACGAAGAGGCATGACACAGGCAGATGTGACAATCGTAATCAGCAGGAAACAGTACAGAATGTATTTTTAGTCTGTCCACAGTACCATCGACAGATACAGACACTTGAAAACTCACTCCGAAGAAACAGTTAAGTCCAAGAGAAACACTACAGAGGGACTCAGGTGATGCAGGATATATATTCAGATATTCAGGTTTCTAAAAAACACAGGACTCTATAACAGAATCTAAAGAAATATTCATTCTCACTCACTCACGCTCCTTTCCAGATGGTGGCGGTGATGTACCGACACGCTGTTCGCCAACCGCCATTAAACACCAGAAGAAGACGACGACGCCGAAGAAGAAGAAGGAAAAACAACAACAACAACAACAACAACATGTGATAACCTAGCGGCACTGAAACAGAGTATGGGGAAAAGTAACAGCTGCTCTATCTGTATCCGGACCAGGCTCGGTGAAATGACACCTGGGCACGCCTGGTAGCAGGGAGCCATATTTCCTGCCCCGTCCTTGTGTGCAGGTCGGGGTGTCAGAGGAACCACTGTACTCAGGTAGGTGTCGTCCCGAATGCATGCACACATGCTAGTGACAGAAACAGACACAGTGGCGTGTGAAGCGCAGCAGCATAGCGCGGGCTGCCTGAGTTCGTCAAATGGAACTAGCGCGGTCAGCTAACGAAGCTACTTGCGAGGACATGGTGAGCGAAAGCCAATTCAACCAGCCACGTTCCGCTGTGATCGCTGTCGTGTTGTTTTTGCGACCAATGGTATTCCAGGGAAGGCGGGACTACAGGTCACACTATCCCGCTGGCTGGAAGTTCCAACACTGTAATGTGACAGAGTAATGAACTTGTTTATGCAACACACTTGGCGTCCGTCGGCCTGAGAGAAAGCAGCCAGAGAGTTGTCTCTAATGTTGACTGGACTGACACACACGTGGATTTAACCCGCGACGATGACTTTAAAGCTCTGACAGTGATGTAAGAAGATGCTGTCACTATTGTACCAGCAGGGGTAGGTTGTGTATGTTGTTTATCAGTTCTGTATTGGATGTCGAACAAAAGTCACATTTTAGTGCTGTCTGTCGTAGGATAGGAACATAGACTTCAGAATACCGAATCAACGAGAGGAAGCATTTTAAGCCAGCCTGTCTTCTCATTCTAAATCAATCTACTTGATTCCACTGACTTCTTTCAGGACAAAATCGTTCAGGTGACTATAGGAGGAGTGTGTTTGACATGAGTGAGCCATATGTAGGCAAAGTTTGGATCGAACCTGTGGTGAATTGGTGAGTTCACTAATGCAGTGTGAACAGGATGGTGCCAAACAATCCCCTTATTTTCATCCCAGAGGTTAGTCTGTGTTGTTTAAGGCACAGTGGCCAGATAATATGAGTACGCACATGTCAATATACAAGACTTACTTGTGATCATTTTCAGATACAGTGTTATTTCTTTCATGAACTGACATTTCAAGCAGTGTTATGGGTTTGCATTCTTTATCAGGTTGCTTGCAGTGAAAGATCATAGCTGCTAGTATCCTGTGCATTCTTGTATAATGTGATCTTAACTTGATTTCCTGTCCTATCGCTAACTCACAGACACACTGAGAAGATGTTTTCTTGTGGGAAATCTTGACTAGTTTATTTAGGGTAGTAAACTATGTACATGCACAAGCATTTAAATATCATAGACAGCTTCTTATAAACCAGGACTACTACAGTACAGCTGTACCAGTATTTGCCTCATAGCATACCCTTTCATCATGAGCAGTACATTGCTGGGAGATATAAAGGAGAACAAGTTAATAACCATGGTGGTCCGACTTGTTAGTAATAAGGCATTTTATAATATTATTGTTATATACTGAATCTCATCATCTAAGTTCGTAGTGTTTACTGTGTTGCTCTGCTGCCATTTAGATGGGTCAGGCATTGTGGAGGCTGCCTCCCAGACAACAGCAGCAGCTTCAGGAAGAGCTTGCAGATCGACTGGCTGACCAAGGAGTAGGAAGACATGAGCAAGGTAATCCTTTTTCAACATCAGATTTAGTTTTGGATTCTGTAGTTTTTGGGTGCCCGTTGTTACCAGAAATCTTTGATATTATTACTTTTGGTTTCAGATAAAATAAGACTCTTGTTACAGAGAAGGAAAAGCCGGTTTGGAGTTCCAGTCCTTAATAAATGTTCAACTTATTGTCATTATAGTAAGTGCTAACTTAAATCAGATGGCAAATTTACTTAGACTTATAAATGCCGGAGATCATTTTACTCATTTATCGCAGATCTAAGGATGTTCCAATTCAATTAAATAAAAAAAAATGTATACCTGCAGCCACATGACAATTTTAAATGATAAATAATATAATATTTATCTGTTAACAATGTAAGTAATGTTTTTGGACAGAAAGTTTAAATAATGTAAAAAATAAATGTGTCTTGCACCAATTATAAAATGCAGTACAAGGAAAGTAACATAAGCAGCTGGAAACAACATAACACAGCAGTGTTTCCCACAGAATTGGTTCAGTCTATGGTGGTGCATAGAGCAGATGCACAAAGTTCAGTCTCATGACCAACAGAGCCTGAGTGACAGGTACACAGACTAGAGAATGAAACAGAATGTCTTGCATGTATTGTATGAAATACCACTCGCCTCATCTTGCTACAAGGCCTGGCTGTCTACCTGGATGGTAAAACTTTAGCAATAGCGCAAATGTGCAAGATCGAGTGAGCCAAGGTTTTATACCGCTGCAGCTCTACAAGGAATTGACAGCGTGAAGCACTAACTTACAGATCACTTATATCGTTATGAAAACTGTAATTTTTTATTAGGTTCATAATGAAACGGTGGCAGGACAAATAAGAATATGACAGGTCACCACAATCTTGATATTGAATGGGAAACACTGCACAGGTAAAAACATCAATTTACTGCCAAAAGAAGGTGTAATCAGATTGGCAATGTGATGGAAACACGTTCTAATTTATCACTGTCGATATGATATGTGTTGATAAGAAGCAGTTTACAATTTTAGTTCATGGATATCATTTAGCTACATTTCATGAGCTCTTACTATATATATATATATATATATATATATTTATTTTTTCAGGTTTTTCCTGACAAGTCTAGGAATGAATTAAATTCATGAAATATGTACAATACTGTAGCTATAAATAAGAACCACGAATAAGCGAATGAACTGCATTTATGTAGCACCTTCAACAAGTTATCAAATAGATAACATAACTTCTTAGAATTGAGACCAACATTTTTTCCCAAGATTTTTTAAAAATAAATCTCAGAGGTTTACTGAAATAACAGTAGTTCTGAGCTTGGAAAAACAGAAAGCCATTTAATCAGTTGACACCCCATCTATCTATAAGCTAACTTTGGAGAAAATTCTACAAATTTGAAAAACTGATACAATCCCTCATCATACTGTTATTTTCTATATTGGGGATATCACATATTTAAATACATATGGATTTGGAAAAGAGCTTTAAAATGATATGAGAAATATTTCTTTGTGACCTATATTAAAGGAGATATGACCCAAAGAGTTCAGAGATGTTACTATATATATCTTAGAAGGAGCTCCATAGCATAATAATAGCAATGTAAATCATGGTTTGGAGAATCTGATAGGACAACAAAATACAGTTTCCAGAGCATGGCAGGAGTCAGTATCTCCTCTCTGCTGCTGTGACACTGTCTCAACGAACTACTGTTAGATATGGAAAGGGGAGGGGCTGGTTTGTCTAAGACAGTAGATAATCATTCAGAATACATACAAACAGTTTTCCTTTTATTTTCTCAATAATAATTTGCTATTAGCTTAACCACCAAGGCGGTGCTTATGTAAAACATGTCTCCTGCAGACTGTGTACCAAGACGCAGATGAAACTACGTAATATATCACATATTTATTTAAGTGTTGCTTTTCTATTCTAGTTTTGTTATATTGTTAACATGTCATCTTGGTGAATTTCACTTTTATCTTTTGCCGTAATTGAAATTTCTAGCTGTTATTGGAGTTTCTTCTCACATCATATTAAATACTTTACTCATGGTTCCGATGATGTTGCTTTTTAATGTCTCTGCTTCTTTGACATGAGTGATTGTGGCTGGAAAACCTTTGTGAACCAAGATAAACAATAGATATCCTGGGTGTGTTGAACTTGCTTCATACTACAGGCCCCTAGTCAATATTTAGCCACAATGTTAGCTGGGATAACAAGAAAATGATGATTCAGTTTACGTATTTTTTAGGAGAGGATGGAGGTCCACAGAGGAGAGCTCCTCAGCACTGTTACGGCCCTGACATCTACCATCTGCTGAGGACATGCAGGGGAGGTATGAGCACACAAATGCACACTAAAGGCATAGCTACTGTCTGTATCAGCACTCCATTCATTTTAAGTTTGTCTAAATGTACATTAATTCTTAGAAAATGTATTATTATTATTGCCATCATTATTATTGTAATCATTATTAGTCAATCCCAGCTGACATGGGGCACCCTAGACAGGTCGCCAGGGCCAACATACAGAGACAAACAATCAGTCACTCTCACATTGACTCTGACATTCATTTTAGAGTCTCCAATATAGTATCTAACCTCAATCTGCATGTCTTTGGTAAGTGGGATGGAGGCCGGAGTACCTGGCAAACACGAGGAGAACATAAAGACAAACCGGGAACCTTCTTGCTGTGAGGCCTTAGTGCTGCTGCTAATGACCACAATGCAACTCAATGTGTTTCTGGAAACACATTAATTCTAGAATGAATCAAACAAACACAAATCCCTTCAGAACTCCTTGGTTCCTAATAACACCCAATAAGTGTTGGAGTGCTTTGTTAGAGTGCTGGCCAGCGGGGGAGTAGGGAGGGAGGGTAACCAAAGCAAGCCTAATGTGCATCTGCCCTTTTCTGCTGCTGCAAAATGTACATAGTGGAAACCCTGGATGTGGTAGACATTGGAAATTGTTGAACACAGTTGGGAGAACTAAACAAAAGGCTTTTATTAAGGCATATAGAGGCACATGGGAGGCACTAGCTCAGTCCATAGTGACTTGGCTTGGGAACCGGAGGGTGGCCGGTTCAAGTCCAGCATGGACCGGAGTTGGAGAGGTGCCAGTTCACCTCCTGTGCACTACCGAGGTGCCCTTGAGCAAGACACCGAACCCCCCAACTGCTCCCTGGGTGCCTTAATGGCTGCCCACTGTTCCGTGTGCGGTCACTGTGTCTGTGTGGATTGTGCTCCGTTCACACGGATGGGTTAAATACAGAGGTCAAATTTCCCCATGTTTGCATGTTGCATGCTGTGTGTGGGACCATAAAGAGGAATCTTAATATTCCCATTAACAATATTTAAAGGGATAGTTCATTGAAAAATGAAAGTTCACTCATCTACTCATCACTATGCCGATGGAGGGGTGGGTGAAGTGTTTGAGTCCACAAAACACTTTTGATCTCCAGTACATCAACTGTATTGGATTTGGCCGCAACACCGTGTACCCCAGAGACTCCTAAAGTGTTTGGTGGACTCAAACACTTCACCCAACCCTTCCATCGGCATTGAGAGATGAGTGAATTTTCGGTAAACTATCCTTTTAAGAAATCGCATGTCCCACTGAAATTAGCACAACATTTAGTTTTAATAACAATATACAATATGCCCCATGGAGGCAAGGAAAAAAAAATCTAAATGTTTGTTTTTGTCTTTTTGTCTCCTCTTTTGGGGTTTCGCAGCTAATGAGCAGCGTGGTTTTATAGATTTGGAGATGCTGCCACCTGAATTAGGCATCACCATACTGTCATACTTGAATGCTACTGATCTGTGCCTGGCTGGCTGTGTGTGGCAGGGCCTGGGAAATGATGAGTATCTATGGCAGGGGTAAGGAGCATCATCTCTAGTTTCTGTCATCTTTTTTGGAGATTGAAGATAGATAGATAGATACTTTATTGATCCCTAAGGAAGTTCAAGCAACCAGTGGCAGTAACATACATTGACCATACATTAGAATTGACTTATACATCAGAGTTAACTTATAACACAGTTACCATACGTTGAAATTGGCCTGAGATGAATGTAAATTTAAATGTGTACAGAGGAATTAAGGAAATTAAATTAAACAATTGAAGCAAAATTAAACTTTTACAGWGAAATTAAACATTTGCATTGGATTTAAATATA